GTAGTTGGTCCCGGTTTGTATCTGCGTAAGCGAGATATGAATGAAACTTGCATCTCGACTCTACAGCCCAGTATAGTATCTAGAAGCTACGTGTAAGAGGCGAAGTCTACTTGAAGACCCCCTCGATAATACCAATACGGTGATAGATAATGTTACCAAAGTACTGTTACTTTGGCTTTTACAAACGTAAATATTTTAGGACACTCGAAAGCAGTATATTTAGCGCTAAGGGCACAAATAATTCGCTAGCTTGTCAGTTATTGTTACCTGGATGCTACAAATGTACCATGGTCCTCAGTTCCACCATGCCTGTCAGATAAAGGCGTTGTTGTGGGCTATGAAGTAGCTTGTGGCGGCGGTGGAGGCCCGTAACGTGTTACGATTGCTGGCATACAAACACGATTCGCAGATAAGTGTTATCGGAGTTGGCTGAAGGACTTCACTAGATCCAGAGTAGGCCCGCAGTGTGGGACTTCCGCTGTGTGCCTCCCAAATGTCATTGTTGGCAAGAAGTAAGTTACTGGCTAGGAGATCTTGCTCAAAGTTGAAACGTTAAAATATTTGAAAGTTACTTTCCATAGAGAATAAATGCTGGTACGTTGGTAGTACTGCAGTGTTCGGTATAATAGGGCTAATAAATATTATAATCAGAATGCCTGGGTTTGCCGTTAAATTGAGTTTTAAGTTTTTAATTTTTACTTCTTCAATTCGCCCGTGCACTGCTGTTTCTACTGGAAAAACTATCAAATAGTTATAATGATTAAAATTATATATATATATATATATATATATACACATACACATATTCATTGACCGGTCGAATAAGCCCGCTTAGAAATCTCAAATTGCCGAGTTTGATAAAAAAAATAGAATGTATGCGTTTTTTACATGAAAGCTGCTTCCTTCTGTTTTCTAACGATCGTACATGTCGTTAAACTGCCACTAAAGAAGGTACGTACTGAGGCTAGTATTTCTGCCTTATGCATAGCTGCGATAACTGCAATTAGGTTTAGGAACACACTTTTGCACCTTTTTACGTTAGCCCTGGATCCTAGGCCCACACTTGGGGCACTAAATTTTTAGACTACGAGCTGGTGATGGTTCATTGTCCGGCCCTGACTCCGTTGACATACGTTTTCGATCGGATTTAAATTGAGTAGATTTCCTGCCATGGCAGCACCTTAATATCGTTGGAGGTGAGCATCTTCTGCGATAGCGATTTGTCATCCATCAACACACTAATTCCCAATTAGAGATTATTCTTGTACCTTTTTTGTCTAAGTTATGTCACTGTATTGATAAAACCATGTCGACAAAATGTGGGGCTGTCGCACAGTGGCTGAAAGTAACGTCTGCAGCATCATTTTGCTCGGGCTTACATAGAACTGGTGGAAAACGTTCCGCGGTAGAATGTTACTATTGAAAATTTCCTAATGCGAATCATCTGAAAACAGACCCTTCAATTGTTCACATTTGCAATTGTTTAGCCCATTTAAAGTGTTGTGCGTGTTTGTATGGTTTGACAGAGGTTTTTCGGCCATTCCACGGAAGCTAAAACTGCCCAGTTTTACACGACGTCGGAAGATCCTTACAGACTCGGCGCTATCGTTTGACGCATCTGATGCGCTTCAACTTTTCGGCGTTTTTCCCGCGTCCCGGGAATGATCCCATCCGCTCCTTCTATTTTCTGCTATTGTTGATGATTCACTTTCTGTACTATATTGTCAACGGCACAATTCGATATTCCGATTCTCGTCGCTATTGCCATTCCTCTATAAGATTGGCTATCTGAATCGTTGCTTTCGGTGAGTTGTTCTCGTAACCCCTTTACGAGGTTATGCACAATTGCATAAGCCCAAAAAAAATTTACTTAAAAATCGTTTGTAGTCACAATAATGTCAGACAGATGAAAGTAACGATAACTGCCGTACTGTATCTGTCGTTCCGTATATTGCAAAGGGCGGATAGCTGAATTGTGTTGTAGTGAGTGCCTCTCCGTCTACAGTGATACGAAAATTATTCTCTAGCGACACTGTTGTCAAAAAAGCGTATGCAGAGACCTCTAGGCGACGCTACTTGATTGACTAATGACTGTACATGTAAATACACATCATCACGACAGTAGGACGGTCACGCATAGATAAAGTAGGTATTCCACCTTCCAAACATTCATTTAACCCTTAAGAGCAAAAGAAATTGCGATTCAGCGGCTGCCGTCGATGCTTGTGAGCTGTCACAGCTCAGGCAGACACAACCTATTAATCCAAGGCTTCGAAAGGGCTGCCAATAAATTTGCCGGTCCTATTCTGTCCTGTGACTTTTTTGTTCACTTCTTTCCATTTTCTGTGCTCAGTACTTAACCTCCTCTACCACGAATCAACAAAATCTTCGGTAGATCCTCCTCCATTGTGAGAGTGGTGAAAGAATTGTTGTACAGTATAACAATATTGTAGTTAACGGACGTCCGATTTTTGCCGTGAAGGAGGGAAAGGGAGAGGGGGGGGACAACTCAACTGATAAACTCAACGTATTTTGTTAGAGCGTTTACTATATTACTAAGCACTAAATGATAAGTACTATAACTTATACATTTGAGTAGTTTTTTGGCAGAGGATACTCACGTAGGCAGTAGATTTCCATCATGTGAGCAGCTTTGTACCACTAAATACATCTTGCAAAATGTGTGAGAAGGAACAAAAAATTATTGTTGAATAATCCTGAAGTCCGTTGTTTGATGGCCCTCTTTTGAACTCTAATATAATTATTGTGCCCGAAAGTTCGGTACTTGGCTCGTGCTTACAATCCATTATCAAAAAAGTAAGTCCAGGACGAGTCTGGATGCCCGTAATAGTTCACCCTCTACCGTTAATCAATGAAAGTATTCTCATCTATGAAGGGCATTGGAAGCACGGCCTCAAAAATGGAGTGCAGAGCATTCTAGTATTTCGACTATTTTATATACCTGTTATATGATATAAGTAAGTCACATGCAATACTACGATAATCAGTATCTTCGACGCAAACTGCGCGACTCATCTTGCCGATATTTTCAGAAAATGTATGAGAAACAGCTACAGCTTTTGTTAGTTGCAAGTAAAATGAATTCTATTCAAGTTACATAAGTTACCGATCGATAAAGAAAGGCTTTCTCTGACGAGGTGGCGTCACCTTCATCAGCGTAAATCAGCCGTGTAGTTCAATTTTTCGGAACATTTAAGCGCGACCGTTTGTCAACTAGACTGACAGTCTTGCCGACGTATCTTATTTCTGAAGCTTTTTTTTTTTTCGCATGATTCAACCGAATAGAGGGGTTGTCTGATTCATTTTCCTAAGCCGATTGTGATAAACAATCAAGAACTTTTTTTTTTTTGGTGAAAATTTGTGTGAAAATGCCAGTGTTTTGGTGAAATTTTTGTGTGAAATTGTGTGAAATCCATTTTGGTGAAAATGCCAGTGTCATATAAATCTAATTCTGGCAATTTCATTGAAGGAATGGTAATCAGATTCTTTCTATTCCGCGTCCTTGTAGAAACAATGCCGTGATTTTAATTAGTTTATTCTCCTGGCTGTTGGTGTTTCTTCTGGCTATGCTTGCGCATGTGTTTGTTGCTTCTATACGCTTCTGTATATACGTAAGATATAAAAAAATCTACAGCGTATTGATAATAACAGCAAAAGGTGTGAAAATGCACAGTAATGCTGCTTAGAACTATAGGGTCAACTGAGACGGTTGATTCGTTTAACGAAAAACAGATGCTCATTGAAGCGTTCGAGTTAGAATGAGCAGGTAACGTTTGCACACAAAAATGTCTTACATTTAACATGTTTACAATAATTTTAGTTACGTATAATTACGGCTATAAACTAATTTGGATTTCAACATTATCTGTAATAGGGGCTGCAACCGGAACGCAAAAATAGTCTATTATGACTATTTTGCGTTCCGGTTCTATTGCTACGAAGAGAGTACGACTGGCTTGCTGGTCGTTGGTTTTACCATTACAGTCCTTCGTGCATGTTTAACTAGCGCTGCTTGTTAAGCACCTAGCTAATTCTTATATATTCTAAAAAACGTACTTAAAAAAATTTGTTCTCTTTTAGGTGAAATGAACAAAAGATTCAAAGTAGTAGACTGCTTTCAGGGGTCTCCATATGAGCCGCTGTTTAAAGCCAATTTCTGTCAGTTATGGAGAATGCGTATTATAAGTAAATAAAAAAAAAAGAAATTTTTAATAAATAAATAAATTTGTTATAGGTAGTTAATAAATAAAATATATTCACGTTCATTTATGCTGCGCAATTTGTTCGAATATTGTACAATGATAGTGAGCCTTTATAGGTTACAATGGAGATCGGGGTTCAGAAAATCATCAGTCTTCTATTTTATTTTTTTATTTAATAGCCGATAAAGTGTACGGTGTTTGTATTGGGTTTTAGTTTCGAATTTAGTATGGTATGGCCTCACAGGACCGATAGACTGGGCCCTACCTTGTGGTCCTGTCTATCGGTCCTGTGAGGCCATACCATACTAAATTCGAAAATTGCTGTCATAGAAGCCTATTAGTAACTTTTGAATATTTCGGCCGTAAAATGCTTGTTGTGTTGTTTTTTTAATAGCGGTGTCAAAAATAATCTTTACTTTTATTTAGAAAATGTAAGACTAACTCGTTGTCAGCCGTCGAACACCACAGGTTTGTAAAGACGTTGCAAGAAGAATTGTATAAACTAGATGTGGCTGAGAAATAGTAACGGTCTTTTCTAAAAAAAAGCAATTAACATTGTAGAAAATTTTAATAGCACATTAGAAAATATATGTCACTGAGAAGGTATCGTGCTGCAGTATAAAATATAATAATATTTTATATAATGATCGTTTCAAAACGCCATATTAGAAAAGTGTTTTCGTTTTAGAACTTGCCCGCCAACTCACAGAAGTAAACAAAAATGCGTTAATTTCCAACTAACGAACGCGAGTCGAAAGTATTCGCGCAGTTCGATGAGGGCGTTCGCCATATATCAACTAATGTTGATTAAAAGCTATGCGAATTCATTAAATATTGCTAACATATTGTGTTATTAGCTATCACGTGCGCTACGTCAGTATGTGATAATAACAGGATGTCAGCACCAATATCGGAGAATGTAAGCGTACGAGAGGCTCAAAAAAAAATGACTAAAATCAGTAGTAATAGATAGGATTGGTAAAGGATCAGTTTTTTTTTTCTCCAAAACTTGATTTACATGTATCGGTGTTTTTTTTTGGCATTTCCGCATGTATTCCGTAGAGAAATTTAAAGCTGCAGTAGACCTTTAATTTTCTTCCGAAGCATTATTTTTATCATTTAATATATTATAAATATTCGTACCCTGTATTACAGCTAGCTACAATTTTGTTTGTTCGTGATGGGCTAAAATCCTTTGTAGCATAACCGTTTCCCCGTTGCTTGATATTCAAATTGTTTACTTACTCGAAACCTGTATACGTAAATATTCTGGATATTTAAAAATGCACATGATTGAAACGTATGCTTAGTGTCTTCGACAATGTTACTCTAAGTCAATTCTATAAACGGTTTGGACAATGATATGTGTTTATGGAACGATAGGCAAGACTTGACTAATCTTGACAAAGTGTTTTGGTGAGTTTTCAATAGATTTGCGTCACTTTTTATGCTTTCTGTAGTTTTTTGGGGATCACACGCTTTGATAAACAAACAACAAAAATAGCTGTCTCTTGTCATTAAATAAAGTCTACACCTTACACCTAAATTATTAATAATATTTTATTAAGTAGAACATTTTGTTTTTTCATATAATAACACACCAACAGACACGCGTCATACATTTAATTTTTTTTACAGTCTGTCTGACATCGAAAGTTGTTTCCTGGCTAAGCACCCCACAACTCCCGGTTTCTAAAGAGCTTTAGACTGCGACGGCAGTCATAAGGTGCGTACGCTGACCTCGTAACCATGCATCTTTCATTAATAACATTTTTCTTTTTCTTCATTAGGCCCTAAACGACCTGAACTCTCAGGTCGCACCAATCATTTTCTAGCATAAATTCATAGATTTTCTATTATTTGCACCTGCACCTTTAGTTGGCTTCACGTTACTGTCTAGTTTTCGCGTTGTGTGCTTTTCTTCCTTCTAGACCAACTACACTTCAACATTTTAATTTGCACACGAAATCCACACTGCGCAGATTTTTTAGTTATTTATTCATTTAATAATGCTAGTGTAGCATATGTCGTTAAACATTGTATAGATTCTTCTTTTTGCAAGCATTACCTCTATAAAACTGTTTCGCGCAGGTGTCCAGATTCGGGCACGCTATTCATAAAAAAAAACTGGTCTATGACATCGACTCGCTATTGCCTCAAGCATTACCAGGATTAAGGGCTTTTACCCTATAAAAGGAACACTAGGCATTGCTCGAGGTCAACACCATACCTCAACCAGTTAGCATGGATAAAATATCGTGTAAAATCTGAGAGACTTCTAGCATGTTCTTTTGAAATTGAAAAACGAATAGTTTAAGATAGCGTTCGGGCGCTAGCTTTCTTATTCTGTGCGCTGAAAATGTGTAACTTTGAATGTTCTGTTACAATTTATTTCAATAATTAAAAGCGTATGACACAATGATGTGCTGAAAGCGTATCTTGCATCGTTCTTTTCTTTCACAGCTTTCAACTTCAAAGTGTCTGTTGATCGAAATGGATGTGAACGAGATCCCTTTGGCCGGAGAAGAGAATCTCGACCTTGAGGAAGAGTTCATTGTCGGCAGTGAGGACAATACTAGAGCAACAGAAAGTGAGGTTTTGGATGAGAGGCAGAATTCGGTAGCTATTAGCGAAAACCTAAAGGCTGAGCAAGATCTTATTGCTAATGAACGGCAAAGCTCGACTACAAGAAGCAATGAAGCCGATGGCGTCGAGTTGACTGAATGCTTTGATTCTGCGAGCGCACCTGAAAGTCAAAATGGTTTGTTACTTCACAAAACACCATCGCGAGCTGCATTGAATGACGATAACAACAGTTCGGCTACCGTTCGTCACTGCTATTGTCAAACAACAAATATAGATCCACTGTCCATGGTTGTGTGTGAAGGATGCGGTCTTTATTTTCATCAGGATTGCTTCCATAAAGGACGTTTCTCGAGTTTACTTGGAGACAAGTTTTTCGAGTTTCTTTGCGAATCATGTGGGTCTAGCCAAGACGACAATAACACTCAGGGTCATGATAATCATCAAAGTAACGACAATGTTGAAAACCCCACGCCACTTTCAAAAGAACGCATCGTCCGGAAACCTCACACTTGGGTTACAGCTGTTGCTTTAGCTCTATTCAATCTACATTCGACACGTAGTCACGAGAGCCGTCAGGGATATTTCCAGTGGCGCGAGCAGGTGTGCCGTTATATAGAAGAGCGCTGGAACGAGTTTTTTTTCGACCGAAAGAAAGCACCGAAATGGCAAGGAGCAGTAGCTTGTACGTTATCAACAAATACGGGAGTACTTTTTCAAAGTGGAGTGTCCGAAATTGATGAGCAAGGATGGTGGAAGCTCATTGAAAACGTTCCTCCAGATCCCAAAAACCCAACACCTACGAGAGGCAGAAGAAGACGGGGACCAAGCGACGATGTACAATCGTCAATTGTCGAACTAGGCCCCAGAATACGAAAGAGACCCACTTTCGATGGGCAAATCCAACCTAGCATTATTACAAGCACTTCTAAGGATGGGCCGACAAGACGGGGGTTAGGATTTGCTATGAAGCCTGCCATCAAAACAGAAATATTGGAGTCCAGCACGTATAACGACATCGATTCAGCAGAGGATACAAGCCAACTGGATTCAACATGCAGTAATACAGGGGAGATCCGAAAAGCAATTGTTACTGCATCAGGGGATGGAAGCTTGTCCTCACAGCTACCAAATAAAACAGCAGGCACAAACCTTAATAGGCAGACACAAATCCGTTTGACACCAATGTCACATAAAAAGGAAAAACTTCTTTTGGGATCTCTTGAAGAACTAGTTGCTCAAGGAGTTAAATTCGATCAACGGGAACTAAGGTAGGTTTCCGTTAGTATTTTGCCGTTTTATACTTATAAAGAGTTTCGAATTGCAGTTTTCAGTAATCAGAGCGGCGTATCGGATATTGGACACAGTTGAAGATTTTGTGCAGTGGCTGATCTATGAAGTTGTTTATTTTACCATAGGTCCAGTTTTAAACAGCTCGCTTTGAGTTTATAAATCTTTTAGAAATACTGTTACACGTATTCCAAATTAGCATGCTAGAAAATTATTATAGCTAACTTTTATTTATATATTGACATTAAGAACTGAACATTTTATTGAGTGAATTAAGAACTGTAGCACGTCGTATTTCGTGCTTGTGCCTTCATAGGCCTTAAGGAGCCAATGTAGTGCATCATGTGTTGATGAATTCTCTGCGTCCCTTCTGTTTCTCTTAAAGGTTCCTGAACAAGCTCCGCATGCGTCATGTCAAAAGGGAAAAAGGCTTACGAATATTCGACTTAGACAAAGAGGTTTCACGTCTGTCGACCGGAGCTGATAACGATAGTGACATAATGCACGCAATGCTGGATCGGTTTGTTCACACGAACGTCATTGCGGCAACGTCCGTTTCAATGGTTGTCGCTGATGGCGGAAATATAAGGTTTGCCACGAAACTCCTTGGAAGCGAAGCATCCTGGTCCAAACTTAATGGGTTCCGAAGCCCGTACACGCAACGCTTTTTAAAGCCATTTATTTTTCGGGACATAAACCCTGATTATCCAAGGATTAAGTTACTGCAAGAGATTCATTCACACCCATTGAGTGCTGCATGTCGGCACGCAGGAGGTGAGATTGCTTACGAAATTCTCTCAGTTGACTTAGTGTATATACGGCCTGAACATATAGCTGTTATCAATTCAATTTGCCGTTCATTCTTCTGGGCCGGCATCGATATGACCGATCAATTAAACTACCCAGAATTTAGCGTAGTGGCGCTCTATGGCAAACTGATCATTGGATTCGCTTGTATGGCCCCTCTCGCGAACTGTAACGAGGCCTATCTAAGCTTTCTATGGACGCATCCGCACTTTCGCCGACGTGGATTAGCTCGATGCATGTTGTACCATCTTTCGCAGAGCTGTATGGGCCGTGATATTGTGCTTCATGTAGCAGCTACAAACCCAGCTGTGTTTCTTTACCAGAGTTTCAAATTTCGCGTCGAGAAAGTTTGTCTGCATTTTTATGATAAATACCTTTCGTTGCCAGTTGGCCGAAAGGACGGCCGTAGTTCGAACTCTCAGACTTCTAAAGAAGGCAGACATGCCCTGTATATGAGGCTAAAATGGTAATTTCTTTTCAATACAGAACTTAATTATTCATTTGGTCTTGAACAAAAGACGTTTCAAACAGTAATGGGTATTCCCAGTGTAATAACGTTGCTACGTTTTGTACATATGTCTATTACTATGTAAATTGTTGCTTACTTAGGGAAAACAGAGTAGCTTTTGTCAAAACATGTCTTGCTAGTTAGAGATTTTTCATGTTCAAAATCTACGTTACAAGTACCACAAATGAGTGTAAATCTCGGTGTATACATTATTGTAAATAAATAGACCTTTGAGACACTAAGACAATGTTGTACACGAAGAAGTTTACGTAGTAGGAACTCTCGGTGGTCATTTCTTTTGTTATCCTGTTGAGTTGTGTGTACCGCCAGAGGATTTTTATCGAGATGTTGGGTAGGTATAATGCATGTATGATTTTGCTAATAAATATTCCCTTGGATAGCCCGCTTTAATAGCGTGCACAGGTTTAACCATATGGGCCATTGATAACAAGTCTAAAATTAGCCCAATTTTATCGATGTTTATATTGACATTGCTTAAGCGTGAATCAGTCAAATATCTAGGATCCCCGTGCTTTTTACTCTATCGATTCGACGATAGAAGTAGCGTAACAATAGCCGCTTTTCTGACAATAGCGTTGATTTCCACCTGTTTCGACATTCCCCTTGGATTTGGGGCTAAAAGGGTGCTTCTTTGCAGCAGGTGAAAGCTTACTATAGGGGAGCTTTTCGTATAAAGCGGTCATTGGGGAAATTGGCTAATCTAGCGTGACTGTCCCAGACTGTCCCAGAGAAAGGTTCATTGAAGCTACTTCGCTAAAAGAATCATGCGTGTCGGAGAAAATCATATGTATCTTACAGGAGTAGTTGTCAGATTTTTTCCCTAAATCCTCGTAAGAACTAAAAATTTCATTAATAGGGACCAGAATCCATTATCATCCTGGTACTTAAGATCTGCGTTTTGCTTAGCTTTAGGTAGTGTGAGGCAATTACTATCTTCAGCAAAGAACTCATCAAGGTTGCAGCCCTATGTCAATACATCACTGAGCACTTCGAGAAGTGATGTCATACATTTTTTCAACATAGTACTCAGAGGTTAGCATCGAGTGGACGAATAGAAGTGATGCTCAGTTCATATATCAATTCAGCCTGTATATCTATCCCATAATAGCAACTATACAGTTTGCCATTTGCTTATTCGACTCTTATCGGCTATGTCTAAGCGGGTTTCGATAGCCACTGTATAAGTTAGGATGAACTTTGGTATTACCTCTCTGTAACTGACAAGACGCATTAATAGTGAATTTATTTTGGGGTTTGACGAATGAACTGGACGATTACTTATAAAGTCGCTATGACAGAGCTTGTTGGCGACAACGAAGCAGTTTCACTGCTGTTGTCTTTCTACTACTAGATTGTTGTTGGTCGACAGATTTCGGTAGAATCTGCAATTATTCGTTGCTTGAGACATGTGTGAAGACCCCTGTGAACATCAAGTTACGACGAGCACCAAAGGCAATTCAATTTGTAGTAGGACAGATCAAGATGCTACAGAATCCAATAGTAACAATAAGCGAGACAATATCGGACACGATTTAGGCTGTATAATTGTAGACGTCCATCCGCTAAACCCTGATGGCTCATGGGCTGACGGTGTTGGCCCTCAAACTTACGGACCTCTAGCCATGCCGTGGTACATAGCCCAGTCATGGGGGATGTCCAGCCATGACCAAGGATATTCGATTAATTCGTTGACCGATGTGTGTCCGTCAAAACTACAGGATCCTTGGAATTCGTTCTGGACTGAAAGCGTGTACTATGATTATTATACCGAGCCCTGGTAAGTGGGTGTGGCTTCTTCACTCCAATCAAACTATCGGTAGATTAAAATCGTTATGACGATGCCATTAGAACTAACGTGAGGAACCGGATCACTCAAGCACGAAATAGCCACGTTGACAGTGCACTTTAGCAATAAAATGTTTTTGGCTTCAGACCACATTTGTTCTTCATTCCAAAAGCCGTCACTCGGAAATGGTCCCAGTAGCCAGCTGATGATGAGTTAGATTTGTTTTAATCATGAAACGAGCTTTGATTTCGTAGGGGCTCATACTTGTTGTCCCTCAAGGTCCAAATGTCGATTCAATTATGGTCACTTTCTATTCGAGTAATTTAAAAGGGTAATCAAAAAATGGGTTATATAGATCTTTGATAGGCAAAACATGCTACGACGCGTCCCTTCGTAGATTCACCTTAACTAACGGAGTGTATGTGACATGCTGCTACATAATTTTTTGTCTTACATAGGACTCCGGTACGAGTGACTTTCCTGACGTTTCTCTTTTTTCAGAAATGTTTAAACTTAACCTAGTTTAAAAAAACTTCTTTCATTAAAAAAATACTCATTTTAACAATAGATGATGAATTTTTATTCATTTTATCTGATATTTCGCCGACGGGCTTTCTTGAGTCAAGTTTGTTAACCCTATACTTTTAGTATTATTATGTACACAAGTGGCTGCCTTCGAGATAGCCGGAAAAATTCACTCTGCAGTCATACCACTTTAAACAATAAGATCATCGCTATTCACTGGACGAGCAATTTTTCCGAATAGTTATTCAGCAATTCATTAAATAATTAGTTGCAAATATAGTGGTTGATTTCTTGTTAACTGAATACGTGTATATCGGAGAAAATGGAGGACAGGGAAAATGTTGCGTTATGTATATAATAGGATAAAAGACTCGCAAGCTCATAGTATTATAATTCATAGTTGACGTACCTATCAAATTATAGATATATCCGCGAAGCAACCATCAATTCTTCACACTGGTGTTGCCTGCCACAGAGAAGTCATATGTGTACCACACTTTGATCCGCATCGAACTGATCTGACGCCGCAGAACTGCTAGTATTATAGAACATCTATCCCAATGCAGTGACAGATGTGAACATGGGTAAAACTTGAGCCGACTTTGTGTTGTATTAAAATCAAAGAACTTGGGTGGAATGCAGCAAGACGAACATGGACGTATTTAAGTCTTTATAACTGATGGTACCTGTTTAAATGGCAATCCGTCGTAGATGGCGAGATGGCTTAAATGACAGCAAATGAGCCAGCCTTAGGTTTCCTCAACTCTAAGCTATAACTTTTTTCCGCTTGTGAATCAATCAGAAACAAAGGAGCAATTGAAGTGTAACGTCGTTGATAATCTTTGTGATGATCAAATAGCCAGGATATAGAGAAGTCCTCGATGTTGTTGTCGATCTACGCTCTCATCGTATCGTCCTGTTCGAGTTTAGATAATGAATGCCTTTATTGTTTTGTTATAATTTGTATATATTCCTTGGTCAATTAGTTCTGACAACAACCGTATCGGTGAAAAATACTTTATGCTATATAGTGTAAACTGCCGTATCCCATCGGGGAGTCTTCCGTGGCAAATTCGTATTCAACGTATTTATGATTGATGTTCCTCATAATGAACGTAGGTCTACACTGGTTGTGAAACCTCCTCTGTCATAAATGGCTAAGGACCCTTTAATGTATGGACGTTATGAAGATGTGCTTTAGTTGCGTTCAAATAGAACAGTTATTCTATCAACAACGTTCCACGGTGATTGCGGTATTTAGTACTTTGCTAAGCCATAGCTTTTAACGCAGACTATCATCGCGTTATCGATTAATTCCACGGTTGTTCATCGCACGTTAACGCAGTGCTGTCCAGGTATTCACTAAATTGATTCAAATTTAAGCTGTCTCCACAACAGTCAACTTACAAATGGAACATCGCATAAGTACTATAACAATTACAACACTTTTGCACGGTTATCGCCTATACGTATCATATGTTGCATAATGTAAAGTTTCGCTTCTCTGTTACCTGGGCTCATTGATACTTTTAGGGTTACTTCGATACCGACGTGATTAAGTCTCCGTGCAATGTATTGGTTAAGCATTTAGTCAAGTCTGAGTTCTACAACAATATTTACCTTGGACGGTAGTTGCTTTCCTGAAAATTTTTGTTCATCGAAGCTTTAGAAACGTATCTAAATCGTGGTAGGGCTAACTACGTCACTAATCCGAAACATGAAAAGGTAATTTTCAATAATCGAATAGAATAGAGATTTGAAGATGTGCTATTTTGTCGTTATGTCCTTCTGGATATATGCCTAATTTGAAAGCACAGGGGCCACAGCCAGTATGAGCTGTCTTATAAACATCCATGAAAGATAGGCGCAGCAAATAGTTTGGTATTTGAGCAATTGGAACTTATTCATTAGCCGTGAGTCATCTGAGTAGTATTGTTCTCCAATTGCGGTTCATCGATGTTCTTCGTGTCACATATGTTCTGGAAGTCATCAGTGGGAAGCGCTACGTTCACGTCGAATGTGACCAATTTGTCGGTGAACCACGAGTACGTATTGTCAAACTTGAAGATATCTGTGAAAATTAGAAAAAAAAACTTATGAATTGATGAAATTGGACTAAGCGACACTGTAAACACTAAAAAAATTTTCACTTGAGTGCCCGCATCAAACATGTTTTTTTTTGTCTAGTCACACTTTTCGTGCGCTATACGCTGTTGAATCAGCTGGGCTTGAGTCAGAGATCCATAGTATTTTGAAGAATATGAGTATAGCCTAGCCCATGATAACGAACTGTGTGCATATTTTTCATTTGCTGAAACGGCTTAACTAAAGAAAATGGTGTTGCCACAAAAAACCAAAGCACGAGGTTAATCAGTGTGTCCAATCGACCAAGTTTCAGAATATTCTACTACCAAAAAGAATGTAGCGTGATTTGCTATACAGCACTTAAGTTTTTCTCCTAAAAAAATTAGCTTTACGGTATCGGGCAACAAATGCATTTCCTGTTTTCGATGCCCATCGCATTAGGCCGGCTGCGCAATGTCGTACGGAAACCAGATGATACCCAATCTAGCACCTCTGAGAAACTGGGACTTGTAGTAGTCTAATAAATATGGTACCATTTCTCTTATAGAAACTCAATGTATGGTTCGTTTTGAAATTTTAATTCCGTAATTAGTAGTACAAAATGACGGAAAGCCTTTGACGTTTTCCTTTATTCTTTAAGAATAGAAACTGTAAGAATAGCTTATCCAATAACATTGCCAAACAACTATCTCCGTTCTTGTTTTTCTCCAACGACATATATCAGAAAGTTTTTTTATTTATTTATTATACGTATTATTTTAAGAAGGTACTCACGGACGCTGATCAGTTCTTTGTGCGGATGTCAAGCGCTCAGTCTGTGAAATGCATTGCCTACAGGCGTTGTATAAAAATAAAAAACGGTCGATAAAGACGTGCGTAAATCTATACGGCAAGACGAGGCACGGTCGGTCTGCAAAACATTCGTTGTAACCTGTCTTTTTGTTTAGGCGCTGCCTCCTGGCTTTCTGCCAATGAACACAATGATAAGCCGGGGACAGTGGTACAGCACGCAACTGAATGGAAGGAAATCCGTTAAGATGGACGTCGTTTTTTCCAACAGTTCACCCAAAATCCCGTCATTTTTTTCGATGCGAACTCGAACGGTACCAGGAAAGCAAATATAGCCTTGACAGATGTGAAATTTCCGTAAAGAAACGAGTTGGATTTTGCTTCTCTACAATTCCGAATTGCCGTTCATGTTCAGTGAGTTGCGGAAAATATAGTTAGCTGTCCCGTGCACACCCACCTTTTGAAATTTGGTCAAAGAGAGGATCCTGAATACGAACTACACTAAATGTATAACCCATGTTCATTTAGAAAATTTTCAAGAAAAATTTCATAGTATTAAAATTTTAAATCAAACCTCGTTTATCACAAAAATGAAGTAGCTCACACCGCCCCTATTTCATCTAGCTTTACCTTGCCCTGTAATTAAATATAACACCTAAGCACTACGTCTCTCAGTGCGATATGCTTTACAAATTTACAAAAAAAAAAAAGAAGTGTTTTACAAATGTATGTCTTACCGCTATTATACAGGAACTTTTGTCTTGTTTAACAATACATAATTATATGCATATTTCATTATATCGAACAACTATTATTATTAATGTATATTTATATGCAGAATCGTACGATCGATGCACTGAGTTTTTTTTTTTTATTAAAAAGCTACGTACAGAGCCCCTGTGCAGTACACGTGAAGAAGCCCTCTTCCGGGAGGACATGGCAGTCTACACGAGTTGAAGGTATACATTCCTCCACCGAGCCATCATTGCGCTGTAACATATTCGTGCAGTATGATTGTTAAGATTGGTAAAGGATAGTGGCATTGATTGAATATGTGTATTACCGTTAACCTTCACCGAACATAGTGTATAATTCAGATTTGAATTGTATTTCGTACTGATATCGGCAGAAGTAGTATTTTTATGCTAACGAAAAATCAGCACTAATTGTTAAGCTTGACTTAGATGGCTTTCTCACCCTTCTGCAGAGAGCGTATCCAAGATCGTGCCCGTTTGTTTTAAACGTCCAATTAATGATGCTTCCATCTTGTTGAACTCGTAGCTCAATTTTATGAGAGCTTCGCTTCGCGAGTCGAATCGTCTGCGAGTTCTCCGCGTTGAGAGTTGAATTTTGTCGGTAAAATTTTTCGGGAATAAGTCCCCCCTGTGATAACTAATAAGATCATAGCGGAACAACGCAGAGAACTTATTGAGTGGTTTGAACATATTGTAACTAGTTAACATTTTGTAACATTAGCTATCCTCTTTTTGTTCCAGACATGCAACACTAGATATGCATGTATACAAACCGCTACTGAACTGAAGCGTTAATTTCTGCTAGGTGACAAAAAATAGTTGCTGGAAGTATTACGTAAACCATGGTAATTTTTTTTATTTAAGAAAGGTACTCCGTGACTTATATATTTTGTAACTTCAATTCGTTTTAAACTAGCACGTTTGTGGTCGCCATAGTAGCGATCAACGCCATAAAAAATAGGATCTCATTCCACGTCGCTAAGAGACTCATTCGGCACATACGCAAGACGACAAAGGACCAATATTTTTGTGAACATGATGCAACAAAAAATGGTTTCTGTTCAAAATATGCGACTCGGTATATCCAGACCGATCCACCTACCCATTCTGAGCATTTAGGACAACCAGTTGGGCCGACTAGTGTACCGCCAAAATAAGCAGGCACCTGGTCCTTATCCATAGTCTTAAAAATCTCTTCTTTCCAGCCATCTGAAAAAAGAGGTATTATATTGGGTGAGCAATAGAACACGAACACGTATAAGGAGTCAACTAATAGGGCGAGCAAATACTTTGCTTACGTCAGCCATGGATCTAAGAAAAGACTTTAAGCACTGAAAGGCATACCAGTGCGTAAACACCTAAGGCACATTAGCAAAACAAATCATTGACTCCAAAAATGTTTGATCTGCTGTTTTCAGTAGTTACCTTCATATGAATAACTTCAATTCGGTATGGCGTCATACATTTGATCATTCTGTATTAGGACAACATTGCAGCTTAGGTACACAGGGTGTACAGAGTAATCCATCTAACGAACACGTTCTCTTCCGCAAAAATATTTTAATTAGATTTTGATTCTTTAAATAGTGACCGTTAACGGTATTGGTACCAATGACGTGTTTCAATAGTCCGTTTGATGAATTGCTTTCTGATCCTTTAATGCGTAAGTCGTTGCATTATGACATCACGCATCACATTGTTGAAACTCAAAAGACATCGGTCGGAGCGTTCATATGTTGAATATTGGTATAAGCTCATCTATCAAACGAAATAGTAACTTATTTTTGTAGTCTTTTTTCATGCGAGGACAACTGTTATTGATAAATTAAGCGAGATATAATTTTGTCATATCACCATTTATTTAGTCAGTGACACGATATCGTACGTACAATAACAATAATGCACGAGACCAGAAAAATAAAACATTTTTATAGCAAAGTAGGCTCAAGAAAAACCTGAGGCCTTAGCTTATGTTTAGATTGTAGCCTATTTACTCTTAGCTTCTGTCAACCCGGTCTTGAAGCATTCGTGTCTTAACCAAACAACACGACGTATTACGAGGAACATCAGGTGCAACTAGTAATCCAATATATAGTTGGAAAACATCTACTTCACGAGCAAAAATACTCCTCGTATGACACAGAATTGAAGTAGCTTCTTTTATCAACATTTGTTGGGTCATGTTAGGTGATGGTGTACAGGAATACCCTGCTCGCGCGGGACTTTTCACAACTACCCTGGAGTCAGCCAACACAAATTTCCTCCTGTAAATTCGAGTTCTGCAAAATTCCTTTTGTATTCTTTTGACATTTCTTCTATTTCAATATGACATGGACACGTGTCGTCGTGATGGTGCGTACTATACAATATTTACGCTAGTGTATCATAGGGTAGTTTTGAAAATCCTTAGCAAGTATAGTATCTTACTAAATATTTGGCTGGCATAATTTTGGAAATAAATTAAATTATCTTCTATCGCAGCACAAAGCCCAAGGACACAGTTCAAGGCTGACTGTGGGCATCCAGAATCTTTTTTTTCACTAACAAATCTTCACTTTTGGTGTTAATTTAGAGATAATGAGCCACAACGAATCAAGCTGCCACGGACACCATATAAACTACTGTGTAAACTACACTTGGATAACGAATCATTTCCCAATAGTTTCACTTTCTCTCAGCTTATTCTATTTTTTTTACCACTCTTCCATGTGTTCATAAATTACCTTACAGTGTGATATTTAACTTTCTAGTACACAGATGAGCTAAATAGATTAGGTGTGATACCTTTTCCAAAAATCTCGACTTTACTCGCGGTGCAATCGGACAGGAGTGGTCGCAGGATTTTCCAACAAAGCGGAAAGAACGAAGGTGCATTTACTATGTAGGCCTTCTTTAGCGTTTCTGGATAATTACTCTCATAGATGAATACTGCTCGCCCGATGAACCTGAAAAGAAAATATCTGTCATTGCTCTTGCATGACGGCGCAAGCTGCTTTAATGAGGCCGCAGACATGTTGTTCACGTAAGAAATGTTAATGTCTTAAGTACTTCTGAACTCAGGTCTATCATGTGAACTAAGCTTGTAAAATGTTAGGCATTTATAAGGTTCAATACCATATTTTCGCGATAGTGCCCTGGTAACGTGTTTGGTTACTGACCAAATGAGGATAGAAGTGGTCTAGGTCTAAATCTGGGCGTAGGGACGTTTATGTTGTTTTGTAAAAATTCGAGAAAAAGGAAAAGCGGCGAATATAATCATACTTCCAACTCGTGCTTAATCCTTCTAAATTTTGCGTATCCCTTCCCTTTTTCGGGATTTCGAAACTATGCTAGACAGAGATATTCAAGCCTGTTTTCAAGGGACAACTACGGAAAAAGTTAGGATTCAATACAGAAGAAAGTGGGCATTGATCTTGAGCGCTATGCTGGCTTTAAATGAAAGTGAACTAATGCGGTCCAGGCCCATGCCGCGATCAATCCCAGAAGCTAGTTTATGGTTAAAATGGGCCCTTGGACGTAACACTAGGCGTATTCATGAGCTTCAATCCGCATACGGAAGTACAATTACCAATAAGCCCACGACCTCATCTGTATTCAATAATATAATACCATAATAAGCTGCTTAATTATTGCTTGTGGTGTGAAGTTGTTATCTCTTTTTGAATTCGTTAGTATAGTTTGTCCTTATATCTTAAATTAGATGATATATAGAATGTTTTATAGAATGTCCTTATGTTCTTAGAATGGTCTATCGGCCTTGTGGATAGATCTTTGTTGTCGTAATGAAGAGCATAAATAGGGGTCCAGCTGCGAGGCTAAATTGAGTGCAATATGTTATTTTTATCCATGTATTGGCTATGAAGTAAGTTTGGAGTTTTGGTGAGGCCTGTTTTATTAATTTGCTTACATCTTGCACAGTTTAAATTTCTATAGAACAACGTGGTCGTTGTATATACGAATACAAAACTCTTTCGAATATAGGCTTTTCTTTTCCGCAAAGACAGAGAACAATTTAAACATCCTATTTTTACTGCAAGTTTTTACGACGACAGATTTCTTCGAGTAAATATAGCGCAACGTTTCATGACCTTACGTATGATAACAATAACTGCAATATATATAAAATGTCCCAAAAATATATACAGTTTCTGATTGGTTTCTCTTTTCAGAGTGTAAAAAACTAGAAATGGATAAATAGGCGACGAAAATGTGTACAACGAAAATGTAGCAAAGGTATAAAAACAATACAGCAGAAATCTACCTAAAATGAGGCGACTCACGACTAATCGAATAAGAGATGGGTTTAGAACGCACGGAACTGTTAGGGGTGTTCATGGCACGATTGGGAGGACTGAAAATATAATCAACAAGCTTCATCAGCCAAGAAAAAATACTGAAGAGCTATAGCAAGGCATACTAGAAGACTGCAAGACAATGAAGTCGTGAGTTTGGCATCAACGAATGAAGTACTATCGCATTTTAGGACGCTGTAAGCGGAGAAGTTATATTTTAACAATAATACATGCCACCAACGGACATCACTTGGACCACAAAAAATTGTTTTGCAAATGGTACCTTAAAGAATTTGAACAGAATTGCACTTCTTGGAATACCATAAATTCATAGGTTATGCAAGACTGTCATATAAATTTTTCAGTAGTTACAATGCGATGCTTCAGCTAAAAAACTAAATAGGCTATTTTTCTGACGCTACCATTATTGGTGCCAGTTATTTGAGTTTATTGTAGGGATCCATTTTAGCGCGCATGTGGGAGAATGGAAAGTTCTAACAGAACAAAGCACCTGCACACTATAATCGTCATTCAAAGACATATCGTGAGAAAATATTTTAAACATATGGGCTGGACAAAGGGGCCCTATAGAATACCGTGCCCGTTTCCCAGGTTTGATGCCAATAGACTTTCTTGGAAAAATATCTTCACGAAAAGTCTGAGTCAGAAAACCGACGGTAATCGAAAGTTTATCAGCCGCAATAAAGTAACAAAGTGAAATGCAACTAAGATTTTATTTCATTCATGGAATGAGAGACCACCGTTGCCAGCGCGGTAAGAGCAGCGATAATTTCGAAAATCAGCGTCATTGCAGGAAGATCTTCTGCAGCTTGAATATGAATTATATGCAAATATAAATTAAAGTTATAATCATTCAAACTAAGTATGCATTTTTTTGGGCCAACCTGTACATATGTACTTGGTTTTGCGGCTCTTGTAGTATTTGCCCTACCTGCGGACCACCTTTGAAACAATCTGTTTCATGCTGAATGTTGAAAAGTCCACCACAAAGACGCGACGTTCGACCTTACGATTTAACTGAAAGTGATAGTAGATGGAAAAACATTATGGTAAGTTCACAATTAACGTTCGAGCGACAGACACTGCTCATACTGAAATTCAGACGCGCTTCTTAATGTTGAGATTTGTTTTTGCTAAATAAATATGCACGTAAAATATCCTTAGCTCGACAAAGGTCTCCAACATAAACAGCTGCTAGTAAGTGGTTTTGTATAATGCCTTATATAAATTTCAGCCCTTGTAAAAAATACATGAAGATATTTATTTCACAGACATATTCCCAGGTTCCTATACGATCGTTTTCGAACTCAGTAAACTTGAATTTTCCGTTGTCTTTTTTGGATTGTTGGAAACAGGTGTTTTCTTTGTCGCAGGAGTGCCAGAAAAATATCATAGATCGCGAGTGTTTCTGCAATAATAATACACATTATGATAGGTAAACAGGTGCATCATCGCTCAAATGTCGGGCGTTTTTTTTGCTTTTTTTGCAGTGTCTATGATTATTATTATTTGAAAACAGGTGCTCGGAATCGCCTCTTCCATATGGCAGCATATTCGTACACCTATGTGACGTTACCTTTAATAGTCCGTTGAAATAAATCCGACGCCTCGTTTGGTGCGTTAAAGTTTTTGTGAAATAGTTGTTAAGACGTCTGCATTTTCTCGGAGTTCAAATCTTTCAGCGCAACGCTGGTTGTGTCTTTTCGTTTCTATATGATATTTTAAAATGGTCCGACATGACTTGAATGAGACGTCTAACTTTTCTGCAGGCTTTTTGGGGATGATTCGACAATCCACTGATGTAAGTTGTTTTGCTCCTTCCACTTCCGTACTCCCTGCGACACATTGGCCGGACTGAAGATTGTGTTTGAGATTCTTCCATGCGTCGCGAAACCTTTAATATCGTCCGACACCAGGCATTGACTTACATATGGTCTCAGAAGTTTTCTCTAGCACGGACATTGTATGTGAGTACTTGATTTAGTCCTTTACAGAGGACAGCGTGCACATCGTCATTTTTTTTAAGAGACTCAACGTGGCCGAATAGAAGTTACATTAAAGAGTCTACAAAAGACTAGTGTTAAAATTGGCGCGCAGATAGGACGCGAGGAAACCTTTAGCCAATAAAAGTTGGAGCAGCCTTGATGCCTTTTTGAGCCAGTGGTAAGCTATTTAAGCATCATTTTGGCATGAAATAATATCTCATATTGTAGATGTGCTGCGCAATATTATAAAGCTGTTCGAAGCGAACTGGGAAGACTTTGAAATCGAATAACTTTTGAATTACTAGCTGTCTTCTAGTTTGCTCCTCTAATTTGCAAGTGAAAATTGGTTGAGTTTACTGTACAAGAAATGAGCTCATAAGAAGAAATATTTTTCAGTTGAAGAATCATCTCTCGGTGGTCACGTTTTTGTTCCTTGAAGGCCGTAGCGTTGCCCAAATCTATGGAAAATTGGTAAATATTAGGCGAGAAGGCTCTAAGCGAAAATGCAGTACGTGAATGGTGGTGACCAGATTTCGGAACCTGAAGGACAAAAATACACAACCGCGATCAAGAAGCTTTTTACGAAAGCAAGGTTTCGAGTGTAAGGGCATTGTCAGCAGCGACTGGCATTTCACACGCAACGCGTTAGAGAGTTATAATATAAAAACTAATGCATAAAAAGTGAATTTACTCCAGGGCAGTTGAAAATGCGCGTCCTGTTCTTTACGTGCAATTTGCGGAAATTTGTTTGCCAGGAAACGCACCTCGAGCATACGGCCGTCATAGACGAAGGCCATTCAGTCTGTAACGCCTTCGCCAGGCGAGAGATTGGTGTTTTTCTAGAAAGAAACCAAGTTGGGCTTTGTCAACTGGGTTCGGGCATGCGGTGATGCTTGTATTTGCAGTGGACAAAAAGACACCTGCCTTAAATGAAACAATGAATGCAGCCCGTTCTTTCGGGTTCCTAGACTCATTGCGCGGTAACCGAAAGCTTGCGGTCTGGTCATTTGATTATAAAGCTTTTTTATGCCCGAAAAAAGGCAACCGTTAGGCAAGCATATTGCATTTCCGATTTACATCGAGAAGATATAGAGAGGGAAATTATATATGGGAACGCGAGTGCCAATTGTATGGCTGTCCAGGAGCTAGTCAAATTCGTGAACAACTCTAATACACATTAAATCATCATTTTAGCCTAACTAGCCCAAGAGATAGTTTAAAGTTCGCCGGATTCGTCTGTAATAGCATAAAATATTCTTTACAATATACCAAGATGGCTAGTTCGTGCATAGAATATGTATTTCTTGACGTATCTATGTTATATTCGGAAAAGATAGTAAGTTTGTAACGCGTTTTATTTGAAAAATGAAGATAAAGGTTACAACATTTTGATGTAGTCTTCAATCTCAGTCTCAGGCATTAATAGCTATGCCTGAGACAGGTTGTAACTTAACACAATAGAACTCTTAACTGCTGAATTTCACGAGTCCTGTTTGAAACATTGGCAAGCCTTGGCGTATTACTTGTCACATATGCTTCATTGACCTACATACATGGACCTAATGGAGACCTTATTTAGTGATCAAAATCCTTCGTGAATCGATGGCGGTGGCATTGGGACGATGGGCAAATTTATCCGCATTCACCCTCAAGTTGAATGCTGAAGCAACCGTACAGAAGATAAATAGAAGCGCGAGGCGCCTCATAACAAGTTCGAAACTAATCAATGCTTAGTTTAATCTTTTCTCCGGACGAAGCCCCATGGCAAGAACGAAAGAAGAGAAAAAGACGCTTTGAGAGGATCGTCTAAAAGAACAGGTGTCTCATTCAAAAAAAATCCGACAAAATTTTTTTCTCGCTTAATTACTTCTTGTAGCAGTCATACATATAGAAACTATATGTTCGCGCTGTCAACGTATCCATTCACACATTCGTATGCCTGCATAAGAGTAAAACGCGTACTATCGATGAAGCAGTAAGTTGGCCGTTCAAACTAGTCATGTCTAAGATCCACGTTTAGGGCTAGATACGGGCGTTGTAAACGATAAACAAGAAAACTGTAGACGGACGACAGAGAGACAACTCGAACAGAGGCTAATGAGGAAAACGACAACCTGATACTGTTTTTTTTTTTCTAAAAGACTATGTTGATACTTTAGAGTACTTGTTGTAAGTGTGCGTCAAATGAATACTCGTATTTAATAGAATATAGATTCTTTATAAATGAAGAAAATCAATCACACAAAGCTATCTAAAAGATATGAAATTCTTTAATAACATTGTAAAGTGTGGTAACTTTTAGCTAAAGCAATGGCAAATATTAAACATCGACAAGTGCGTTTGGAAAACCGTACGACTATCATGTTTTGCTATAACTATATAACGGTGCGTCACCTAGGTGGAACGGTTAGTTTCAAGCTCTACATTGCTTTCAGTCCGTTGAGAGCGAACCACTTTGTTGGAAAGCCGTACCTTGACACTCTGCTGATGCATATCCTCATTACAAAGCTCCAATAGGTAAATTATATGGTTCGTAAGTTCCCTCGGGGTCAAGCATTCTAACATTCCACGCATGTCGAAGTCGCCAGCGCAGAATACCCACACGGGACAGCCCTCATGGTCATGACCAGTGATGCCCCCGGGGGTATACTTTTCCAGCACCTGCAAATCAAGCGAAGAAAGTTCGTAGCTATGAGCCAAACGAGGCAGATGACACACGCAGTGAATCCATAATGAATATAGTGAATGATATACGTTGAATTTAGCAGGCTTATAGGATCCAGCTCTCTGTTGACAAAAGCAATACATTAATATATCAACCCATGCAAAACAACTAAGGTCCAACATTGTATAGGTACGTTGTGCAGCCCTATTAATATTAAGACAGACAATTTTAGGTTCTATTTTTGAAGATCTTCTAAAATCTACGATTTACAGTGCCTGCTCCAGCATCATCTAAGATAGCGAGGGGTTTTCGTACACGTGGTAATGCTGAGTACGTTTGGGTATACGGAGATTCAAAGGGGTAAGTCAACATCACGAAAACTTTTTTATTTATACAGAAATTGACGTCATTCATAGTGATAGCAGACGGTCAGAAGCATGGATTGCTGCAGAATCTTGCTGCTATAAGTGGTCAAAAATGAAGTCGAACTGAATTTGCAAATAAGTAAGGTTGTAATAACTATACTCATAGCAACAGTAGTAGTCCTATCCTTTGGCTTCTGCTGTTCGTAACAAATATGTTACTGTAGTTTAGTTTCACTATATAGATATGTGCCTATATTTAGAGTTGGTCTCAATTTGCAAATGACAAACTTCGCTTGTTCGAAAGCTTCCGTTATTCATTTTCATTAAATTTCTAATGGCAAAATAGGAGGCACTGCTTGACCGTGGCGCATCGGTCCTGCGCCTTGGCCTGTATTGGCGATCGCTACGTACCAAATCAGTCGTTGCCAAAAAAAAAAAACTAGAATTCGTTTGAAGGTGATCTGCTGTGATAACTAAAAACATATTTTTTTTTTGGCGAGTACGGCACCTGGTAAAGGGAATGTCTTCTCTTGCACCCTTAGATATTTATATAAACGAAGGGAATTTTTCCATTTCGAAAATTGGCTGACGTGCTTGATGGGAAAACACTATTTCGAAAACTGTATTTTCGCCCTGTTTTCATGAATCATATATAGACCATATATTGTGGCTGAAAGAAATAGGAACCTCCGTACCTGTTCTGTGGACTTCACAGAGACGTAAATGGCCTATATGTATGTGCATTACTAAAGACAGATGTTAGCTGTTTTTTTTATATTGAAGTTCATCTTATTGATGGATTCCACAGTTGTCGAGCACTTGTGTCAGAGGATTGAGTATGAATTAAAATTTCCACTTGTAAAGATCAACGAAACCTTGTGCTAGTCCTATTGATCTCTCGCAGGACAATTAATTAAGCTGAACTATATTCCCATGCAGATTGGCGCTTGGCGCTATTATTTGCGGGTAAAATCATAACTAAATCGCGACATTTTGCTTTGCTCTTCCCTACATCTGCGAAGTTTGTAAATACGATTCGGGTGCTAGTGGGAACGATGATTGACTTGCTCTTCACATTGCACGGGTGGAAGAAATTTGGTTTGTTTGTCTAGTGGCGCTTGATTTAGAAAACAGCAGATTTTGAGACTGTGCATGACAATTATTAAAATTTATTTATCGGGTCTCTTATTGTTACATTTCGTTAGTTTTATAATTAAATATATCATTTGTATGTTTGTCCGTTGTTTCCTCGATGATACTTACCTGTTGAACATTTAGAGACACTGTACACACTTTGAAGTAGACATTTGGCAAACGACTCATCAGTAAGAAGCTAGTCTGAGTTTGTTTAGACTTTTCTAAGCAAATTTTAGGGTTGTGAGGAATTACCGTGTGTAAAAACGTAGCGTGATTGCAGCTTTGGGATTTCTCAAGTTGCTTGTGTAATTTTAGAACGGAAATTAGGAAGTTGAAGATCACAGGAAGAGTAACCACGCCTGAAAGCCCCAGACGGAAAAATGAGCTGCCGTTATCACGGAAGCTTTGGAGCAAAACAACGTTGCTGCTCACCAGCTCCGTACGGGTTTTTTGAAGCGTGTGTTATGGAATTGCAATAAAGACAATGAGGATGAAGAAAAAGGGCAAACAGCGGGTTCTTCACGAACTGAGTCCAGGGAGGATGAAGGATTTACGTTTGCTCTGTAGCATATGTAGTTCTTGAAGGGAAGGAACCGGCCAGCTAAACGACCGTCTGTTATTGCTATGTGGTTATACTGCTTTAGGCATCACAACGTACGACAATCATCGGCGTTCGGGTTTCTCTTGCCCTGTCAAGGTCATCAAGTCCTTCGTTGTCCAGTTGAAAGCGAAGAAAAAAGAGAAAGAAATCGGTTTTGACTTGTTCTTACTGGTTTCAAACCGGTAAAGCTCAGAGCATTTCTCTAACGAAAGACGTTCTAACCTTAATAGCAGAAGAAAAGAGTGACCGTATTCCTAGAGTAGCCAAGACTAGAGGACCGAGCGAGATGAACGTGTGCGAAAGGGGTTGTGTTTTCGCTAGATTCTTGACAGAACCGAAATTTCGCAACTATTTATCCTTGAATGCAACGTAACACAGCGAGAAATAGAGAGCATATCCAGCTCCCTTATCGACACGTTACGGCCATTTCAAGCGGATGAAACTAACGAGATGATGGTGCTACTCATAGTCAATCGGATCGAATGTAGCTTGTATATCTCGTGCTGCCGCTAGTTTTACCGACTATGTGGTGCGTCTTGGTGACCGACATCCGTAGCTGTTCCTTTGCGAGGCGCCTGGCCGATTTTGTGCCCTGTCCCTCAGCCCATCACCGCAGTCTCATGATTACAGCCATGCGGCCCTAAAGAGCTGCCGTGGCCGTACACGCAAGTATGAACGAGCCCGTCCATGAACAAGAAATGGATCCAACCGCCATTTCCTGCACACCCAATAGCTCAGGCTGATGGAAATTATTGTGATCCCAAACGCTATGCCACTCAATGAATACATCCTGGCGTTATATCGTCAGCAGATACAGCCTCTCAAACCCATGACCGTATACAGATGACCCACATAGCAAGGCAACCAGGGCGGTCTTCTTCGCAGCACCAAATTCGAAACCAGATCCAACGCAAAAAAACTATATATATACATAAAGTTATTCGACATAGAGGTAAACAGGTACAGCGATATCAAACAGCGCAAACGGAGACAAGCACTATTACATAGCGTAAACTAGGCGTAATACATACGTAATGGCAATGGTGAGATAGACGCGATTTCTAGTTGTGTGATCACATCAGCAATTGTTATTTTTTTTGCGAGAGCAGGAGCGGCCCATAGTGACCCCACTTCGTTGACGTTGTTGATGACTACATCAGCGCGTACAGCCGAAGCATGCCGTTCTACTCGCGTCAAATGCGAGCGTACAGGGCTTACGTCAGTCACTGCGAGTGAGGTTATCAACTACATGTAGTAATGTTCGGACATCCCAGAAGAACCTAACCCTTAAATTTGACTCCATGGGTGTTTGCGAACCTTAGATGCAGTTCGCTGACAACCTAAGCTCGCGAAGAGCGCGGGCAGTATCATACGCGTTCCAACATCCGAGGATCACAGAGTCACTCTTGACCCCTCTCCTCACGAGGCGAAACTGATCAGGCAAAGAAAAAAAGAAGACCTTGAAGCGTCGTCGCAGGTATCATGGTTTATCATTTTTTTGCCTAGTAATGCCCCAAAAAGCCTGCACGTTCAGGGACATCAATTTATATACCTAAAGCTCGCTGTGTACGGATATAGACAAGAAATAGCTATTTGTAAATTTTCCAATACAGGCATGTTTAGCTTTTCGTATAAACGCCACAAAGCTTCCCTTCATAGTTTACCACAGAATGTGCCAATCTAAGATTATGAGCACTTGCTACCTAACGGTGATCCCAAATGGGTCTATCTTCAGATTTTAACCAGAAACTAGTTGAGTTTTCTCTAGTCAAATGCATTATGATAATTTCGTTCAATGTAAAAACGACTTGCTCCGTACAACTAATTTTATTGCTTCAGTTTATTCCGTCTCTTCCATTATGTGTGCCACGTTGAAATACATAACAACTTGTAGTATAACATTGTTATAATTATATTATCTTAGTAAACAATTTCCCATTATTCACTTTTCAAAAAAATTGGTACTGTTAGTATATCTTGGCACATGCGTAACAAACATTTTTATTGCAATACTCTGGGTAATATTCACACATGTGAAAATATGCATGTGCAAATGTATTTTTGAGTGACGCAACGTGTATGATCGTGTTGGGAGTAACTTCGGGTGCCTGGAGCAGAACCAGGCCCAATTCACCCCGAGATGAGAATACTTTAGATTTTCTCGCGTAAATCCTATCTGTTTTGCTAGCTGGGTAATAAGTATTGCCTAGAGGACATGTAGGCGAAACTTTTAGAAATGTGTATGGTCGAGTATTTCAAAGCATGGTACTGCCAGCTAGCCGTGCAGGAAGTGTCGCCCTTCGTTTGCACTCGTGTTTTGGATACCAGTTGCTTACCATTTACTGAGATCAGTATTATTTATAACCGTACAGAGTGAGTTAAAAGTTCAAGGGTGAAGATGCTAGTCCATTGAGCGTAACTTCTGTTAGTATAAATAAACATTTCGAATTTCATGATTGGTGCTTCACATGATTTTCTGTAAATATGCAACGCTAGCGCTGCGGCATCATAATGATATATATACTCTTTCGTATCCATTTTTGGCCGCTAAGCAACCGATTTAGAGGTTTGCAGTGGGCAATTATATAACTGATTGGTATGAGAACGGTACGTGAACATTTGTATAAGGTTTATTGTAACTGAGGTATACACACCCAGTATAACGTATAATTATATGGACTCTACTTCATAAATTGTCAAGTAGTGCTTTAATATAGTGTTAATTATTGAGTCGATTACTTAACATTGTTAGCTAAAGATCCCTATTAAAAATACAGCTTAAGGAAACAGCAGCATATAATAAGGACACATGTCTTGACAAGGCCGCTGGATGCCCTAATGCCATTATGCGAAAAGTGCAGTAAAAATATTGGTAATGAAAACTAATTAATCGATACCCTGGCAAGTTTCATTAGGTTAACCACCCCTGAGGTGCACAAATGTGAAGGAGAAAAATATTATAGCAACATCTTGAAAAATTTCCCAGAGTCAACTTTGTGAACTATGACAATACAATTACAGCTTGCAACAACTGACACTCAACTTATTTGTGCTAGAACATTCACGCTTCTAAGAGAACAAAAGTTTTTCGGCGAACCGCTAAGGCATCTGTCTCCCCTCACGACAATTAACCGGTCCACACTTAACCATATGTTCAGCAGTTTTTGCCAAAGAAAAACTCCGTATGTATGTTACCTCAACCCTTGTACTCGATTTAGCTTGATACGACTTTTCCTATTCTCAAAACTGAGGGAAAACTTAAAGAGAAACTCTTTGGAGTGATAGGAGAAATCAAAACAAAATCGCTGACCCAGCTGAGGACTATCCCAACGATTGAATCTGTAAAGCGCTTTAAGGACTAAGGAAACGGTGCCGTAAGTGTGTTACCTTCGGCAGGGATTAAGTCGAAGAGCAAACCTGAACTAGGACGATTGAATAAATACTTATTAATGTGAACTAAATCAATAATTTTCTTTAAAGAGCACAGTGACCAGTGGTGGATATTGCTTCCGCAGTCCTCTCAACGTAAGTGAGCCGAAAGAGCTTTAGGCCCATTTATAGGACCAATACAGCAACTGAAATAATTCCAATTCGACGAATGTTCGCCTTACATAGCCGTCTTTTAATATATACGCACGTTTCTATATCATTACGTAACGGATACATATTCGACATTTAGGCTGCAGGATGATACACGTAAAGCAGGTGACAACGCGTCCGCCCGTTTGGTATTCCTGTTATTAGAAATATAGTATTTTTAATAAGGCGACCCAGGCACATTTCACAGCTTAGTGAATGTAACGAACTGGAACATTTAACTACACTTAAAGTAACCGATCCTCAATAGCTGATATGCACATAACTGGTAACCTTCGCAACCAAAAAAGCTACATTTATTCAATGGCAGCAAGTCATTAATCCGTCTTCTCGTTTAATACTGATTGGGCGAAAGAGCGACATGGATAGGCACTACCTTATTGTTAGGATTCTCAGGATTTGTCGCCGAATGATCTCTAGCTACTGCTATTAGATTTAAAAGAAAATGTGTTTTGAGCTGTCCTATTTGCTGGCATGCTTATTTCGTATCTGCGCTAGATGTACACACCGACAAGAAAAATACAACGTGCACGTACACGTGCATACGTGTGTATGTACGTTTAGCAACAAGATCCAACACACCACGTCACCCACTATTAGCACCTCTTTTTTTTTCTGTTTTTTTATTACCTAGCCTCTATCGTGCAGCATGCATACGCAATCCATAATGGAACAGGTGGTATCTTTCCACTGTTACAAATTTCTTTTCTAGTTCCTTATGTGATACTTCTAGCAGTTGGCCAAATTACCATTTGAAGTCCGCCAAAGCTATCCGGATTAGGTGTATCATCTACTCCTCACTTTACCATTATACCTCACTTGCCTAAACCTGCTAAAACCTCTCCGCTAGCAACCTCGGACACCCAACACACACTAATGACTACATGTCTGCCTGGATGCATGCACGTTCTCCGTATATTTCTAGGCATGTTTACCATCAGTGTTCGAAATCTGCTTCAGGCGCAAATTGGTACCTGTAGACATAAATCTATCGACTGCTTGACGGCAGGTCGACTGTGAAGTTGTCGATAGTAACCACTGCTCCTTTAGTAGATCTCCACTCCTCTGTCTAGAAGCGTACTAGGTAATTCACTACGTACTGTCCTCTTTTTTACAGTGGCCACGTTAACAGATAAGTGATACCTCTTTCTGGTCGCTGTCCGTTCTAAGGCGGCTGTCCTTGCACAGCGGCAGTGGATACATGTGACTTAGATATTACATAGATGGATATATAACATTTGTCGCGGATAGATTCTGTTTAATAGGATAAGTACGAACTCTAGTTTCCTTTTGTGAAGGATTGCTTTTCAAAGCTTATGTTAGTGTACAAACTTCCTAAGCATATATTAATCGGTAGAACCATTTAAATGACCACACTGATAGCCATTTTGATATATACTAACGCTATGACATTATATTATAGTTTTATAAAGATCGTAGGTATGTGAATAGGTTGTCTACATTATCAATGTTTTGCCCCTTTCACTGAATTCAAATAAAATAAAAAAATATAACAATAATTCCGATATCTCCTACTTTATTGACTGATACGATATAAGGACTTTCCAACAGTCAAATTACACAGAAACCTTAGCGTGACCCTATAGAGATGCATATGCGTATATGTAAAGGACTGAAAAAAAGTCCTATGACAATTTGAAAAGGACCACTCGACAATTTGAGGATCCAATTTGACCATCCAACTATTATTTATCCAACTGCCCTAGTTTTTATTACACTTTAGTCTCCAGCTAACTAACAGATATAAAATGGAAATTAGCCAGAGACTTTTCAAGCTGCAAAGAGATCGTCTGTGCAAAGGAGGCCACGCCTATGCCAGATCAGCCAGTAACCGCCTATTTGTCTCGTCGTATAAATAACATTTTCTTTTACCTATACGGCACAGAATACGACTCTTTGAAGTAATGAAAACGTTAATATACATATACTTTTGCATTTGATAGCGCCTTTAAACTTCAAACGCCCGGAAAATCTTCGTATTTTTGCCCGATATCAAAGAATAATGGCTACAAATTTTTTAATTGAGGCTCACAGGCGCTTATAGCAGGTGTCCATTTTTCCGCTAATCTAGCTTGTATTTGTAACGCATTTTGGCTAAAGTAAGCTAGAACAAGAATTGATGTTGTGGTTATAAATTCAATTGCCTGAAATCTGGTATTGAATAATTTGTCAAGATTGCAGCTTTCGTTTAGTCTTCATAAGACCCATTAATCAATTCAGAACAGGGTACTGCTATAATAGTATTAGGAAAAACGACCAAGGATTACATTTTATCTGTTTCTCTGATCAGGCAGAATAGACAAACTTGTCATTGATCAACAGTAGGATCGACTGTGAATTGACGCTAGGTTAACGAATGAAACGACACCTATGGGCTGACTTACATTCTAGAGGTAAAAAGACATTCACAAGGAAAGAATATATAAAATCTGAAGGTATTAACACACTAATGACTCCTTTACATTGTTTTGTATTCATCAAAACAGTCTGTGTTTAGGACTAGATCAATGCGCCGATCAGTAAGCAGATTTTTTTTCGTAAACATACAGAGTTCTCACGGAACCTGTTTTTCGCATCTGTTTGGCGGACGGTAAAGCTTGCCAAAGGACATACGAGAATATAGTCTCTCGGCTAACCTAAAGCGCATTTACTACGGTTTTCGAAGTCATATTGTACATTTTTTTGTCTTTGTAGAAAATGGATGAAACGGTTTATATATTTTCTAACTGTCATCGAAGAAATACGTAAAGGTTTGAAGCTAAGGTGAAGATTTTTTGAAGGTTTGGTAGAACTTTTCCCGATAGTCCTCCTTATGCGTAAACAGAAAGCGACATCGGTGCGTATCGAACTAATATTATCTATAGGCACGCAGCGCAAAATACCAACGCGTTAAATACAGCTGCGCGTGCTGGACCGTTCTGCTGTACCTTAGTCAGGCCCTCAGAGACGAGCCTTCTGAGTCGTCTATTGGGATAACATAATACGGCGAGCATGTACGCGACATTAACGTACTAGCCTACATGCGCTGACCAGCTCACGCGCACGTGACTGTCGGTCTTAACTATAACCTCGTTATAGACAACAGGAAGGCATACTAGTCGTAACCAATCGATCATTTTTCATCGGACATTATTTTCCTTAAGAACTGTTCTCTATAAATCCACCGCATGGCATTTTGAAATATCCTTAAATCGTTCTATACGATATCGATTCCTGATTTTTCTAAAGGAGTGCAGAGTCTTGGTTAGTATGTGCGTTGCAGGTGCATACGTAACTCGGTTCGAATCGAGCAAAAGATGGGTTCGTCCTTTTTTTCCTTGTCAACGCCAGTATCCTGGGCGATTACATAACGAGGCAGCTAGATAACACTTGAATTTTCCTTGTATAATAATAGAATATTTTCTTTTACAGAATTGAAATAGCGTACTAACGATTGTTCTTAACCGCCTCAGAAATTTGAATATCAACGTCACGTAGATCCGTTTACCCAAATGCTAATACCGACCTCGGGTGGCTTGTACCACTTGGTGATATTGTCCATGTCTATCTTGTCGCGGTAAATAAGGTGCCGTCGAAGCATATACTCCGCCTTGTCAACTAAGAAGTTCCTTGCTCGAAGCCACCGTAAGGCAAAGTAGTCATCGAAACTGTCCTGCCACACATCCGCGCAGCGATCACGGAACTGTAATTCAGATAAAAGGGAATCGTATTTAATTAAATGACCGACGCTCTGAGTTGATCATAAATTATACTTCTGGATTGACGAACATAGTGCAGCTGCTGCTGACTCGGGCACAGCTTTCATATCCGGCACAGAAGAAGGAACTCGTCCGGAAGAAAGCGATATCCTCAAAAAAATGAAAATGTCTACAACTCCCTGCTAAGTCGAGCTTGCCAAGTAACACAATAGAGAATCACTACACTAGCGATACATTTCAATGCAAAACCACGTGAAAACAATAAAAAAAAAAAAAAACTTGTAAATATTCTAGCTTGTTTCAAGTAAGCTATGTTTTCCGCGTATGTTTACATAATCAAGACGTCGCTATATACTCGACGTATTAAGCAATAGGTTAGTTCAAGTTTATTCGTTCGTTCTGAACAGAGGCTGGGTCAAAGGATATCTATTTCACCTAGGAAGAACAGTGGTTCAGTTAGACAGGCTTTCCCAAAAAATCATTTCAGATACTCGTTCTCGGCACATGCAAGTTGGCCGCGAATATCATCGAGAAACCCAGCTGTCTACATATCGTATACTATATCTAGCTAAACTTATACATACATTTGCTACATTCAGACAGGTAACTGAAAAGTTTAAACGGATTTGTTAACGCGCGCAGTGAACGATATACTAGTATTAGTAAAACTCTTGTTTGATAGATTAAAGATATGGACATCGTCAGTCAGTTGCCGGTAGCAGTTATTTGTCACGATGCTTCGGCAGCCGTACGTAAAGCTTCGCTCGCTTGCAAAAGAAAAGGTGAGGTCTTTTGAGTGCCTTGGAAAGGATGGTTGAATTCTGCCGTTTTTTTGACGCCAAAATTGACGTTAACGAGCAGAACGGAGCCAAATAGAAATAACCCTTGCGAGTCGTCACCTCCATATTATTTTGAACAATCAACCATGGACTTTCCGGTGTTTTCGTCACACCAAAGAGGAAAAATGCCTGAATAGAAGTCCATGGACCCAAAACCGCGACAACTTTTTATTTATTTTGTGTTGACGCGTGAATGAATTTGATGAAGTGGATAAACGTGTGAGCTCCATCTACCCGCTGGTTTTTGGCCCTTCCGCGTCAGCGCATGCAGTAGGGACAACCTTTACAGCGGCTCGTTCTTTAAGCCTCATCGTGTTAAACTAGTCGTATTTTGTTTCAAGTATGGCCGTTTTGACCCCGAAAAAGCAACAAATCTACGGGAACGAAACTCTCAGCTACGCGCTATGCCTCAATATTTCTGCGCTTTTCTACTGACAAGTTAGCGGATTCATTGACGGGTCCTTTTTTCTTTTCAAGAATGATGCTATTTCGTTTCTCAATGCAGTACTCATTTATAGAAGCATCGAGAAGTGAGGCAGACCGAGGTCAGCAACGATGAAAGATATTTTTAACAGTATAGAGACAAAATGTCTTTTCCTCGAGCTGCTGTCCAGGGAGATACATGACAGAAGAGCGCCCAGTAGCGGCACGACTTGTCGTCCGCGCTATATACAGCCGCATGCATATAAGGAAATCTGTCTTCGAAATAGATAGATGTTGCTAGAAAAAAATTGTCATCGAACCACCTCTAGCGCTAACTTATTGGATCTTTTTGATACGTACGTCATAACACGTCCGAACGGGGTGAGTACAATTGAATACAGAATATGACAAGACGAATCAGTGACGGTTTTGCTTCGTTCTACGAGAGATCATTGGATTTCAATTCATAATCAGTGATCTTCAGCGGTCAGATATCTGCTATATTGCTTTTCTGATCTAATTGCACGTAAATGTTGTTAGCGTTTTATAAGGCCGATGCACAAACATGTATATAGGCGAAGCCATGCGAAGTAAGGGGAAAGCGCTAGTGATGAGTCTAATCAATTGCTCCACATCTGAGGGCAAACAGTTTCCTGCACAAAAACTATACAAACCTCCAACGTGCACCAACACTGCGTGGATACGCAAGTGTAAAGCTTTTCTATTAAGAGAATTATTTGTTCAGAAAAGGTTTTTACCTTAGATAGGCAAGAAAAAGTCTTACTTGCTTATTAAAGAAGGGTAAATAGCTTAAAGTAAGGTACTCAACGTCATCGCATCAGGCTGCTGCACAGGTGGCGGGCGGGTTAGCTGGCTCGCGGGGTCCTTCCCGATTGCTGTGCATTAAATGAGATGCTTACATAACAAATACTTCACTCAACGACTGCTTCAATGTCATTCAACCGGCTGTAACTGCTGCTGGCTGAAATCAGTATTGCGACAATTCAGTCGTTAACGAGGCCTCTTCGTCTATTCTTCTATGCTGGACAGCTCCGTTTTGAAACGTGGGGCAATACTCAGACGGTGGCAACTGCCATATGCAGCACGGTCTCCGTTCAGTTGGAAAAGCGCAAGAAGAGCAAGCGTTTCCGTGTGGACAAATTCAATTGTTCAGAAGCAATACGACAGCTGTGCAGGTCTTGAAGCACAGATCTCCACCGTTCTACCTAACCCTATAATTGTTCAGCTGTGACCATAGCCGCATTGTCCCTGATTTGTGTCAGCATAATTGTTGAGCCACCAATTTATTATAGCCTCTATTGCCGTCGTTCCTAATAGTAAACATTGATACTGACATGAGTCAGGCGTGCTACTCCCGTACTGCCATTCCATTAAGTAAGTCATCATTCTCCCACACACAAATAGTTTTAGCAAGACATTGACGTCATAGATTTCCTTAAATATCTAATAGTATTTCTTTTCCTCCTCAACAACGCTGAAAATGGTTTCCCTACAGGGTGTCCAAATAACACAACAGGACGAAAAATATGAAATAAACGGCCTGATCACGAAGCTCTCAGTGTGTCCTAATCATTCTCTGTCGAGCACGCAAGTAGAGTACTGCGCATGTTCTTTATTCATTGACAAACGCATTTTGGTCCATTGATAACTCCTCAGTGTACGCAGAACATCTACTGTACAGCAACACTCACTGTGTTTGTTAAGCAATCATTTTGACCTAGCTACTGATAATCGACGATTCCCTTTCTTATTTTTCAATTTGAAACTTGAAAATAATTTTTTTTTTTTTTTTTAGCTTTTCAAAGCGCGCTTTCAAAACAGTACTATGTTATAAAAACGTTTTATGCGGATTATACGCCCGGAGACTGTGTAAATAGCAGGTCAACAAATTAAATTGTTGATAGTATGTTACGGTTGTGTCCCATGCCGATTATATTTACTCTGCTGGATTTAGACAGAGATAATAATAATAATAATAATGTGTTATAGTAGTAAGTAGACTATGTTTTTTGTTCTAAGCAGCACTTTTCAACTTTATCTGCTAGCAAGCAAGTAGCTGGTCCCATAGTTTTGAATAGAAATTGAAGATTCTTGGAATTAAAGATGTCACGCGTTTTCTGGGCCCTCTGAGTGCGTGTCGTTTGAAGTTATCGTTGCAATTGTATGACGATTTTGTTTGCATTGCAGTTATATAAAGACTGCTTTGATTGATACTTTAAGTTGTTGTAAGGTGCTCTAGGTACGTTCAGCCGTTGTTCAAAACACCTTTTTGACCACTTTCTAAACATAAATATTTGCAGCTTCGCTCTAGACTTATATAACTATAAGCTACGGTCTTATGACTCATCTGAAAAACCTCTTTGCCATTATTTAATCTGTACTTTAAACCAATTGTGTTAGTTTAATCTAGTTGCCGGGTGAGGTAACCAAGAGGCCTGTGGCTTGCCATTTTCGAGTTCTTAGAGATATGCGCACTTTAGTTAGAATGAAGTACCTTCTAAACGATGCCAGTTCTACGGGGTGTTAGATATTTAATATACAGACTTAATATAAGGACCACTGGTAAAGTGGGCTACAATGAGTGATTAAAAAAATGGCCACTGAAATATAGCTTAAACTAAATTATTAGAGTAAAAGCTCGTAAAATTAATATAACCAATTTTATTGTACTTGCACCCAACAAAAATCCCCGCAGTCGAACAACTCTATATTCGCCTTTTTCTTCGAGTGGGTACTAATAAACGACGGTAAAGAGTGTTTGTATAGCTAACTAGATATTATCCATTTATGTTGATTGCTAGGTTTTTGTTTACTGGGGACGAACTGTTGTACATCGTCGGAAAGCAGTTCTCTTTGTAAGGGTTTTCTCATCGTTTTGTTCAAAATTGTCCATGGAATTCAAATTTAACAGATGGATCTGTCGGGTAAAAAGCAGAAAATCTGTGACATGGTATTTTTTAAATATTAAATAACAATGAAAATAACCTTAAAAGGCGGTGAGGACCCTACAGCTGGAAGGTGCAGGCGTATCTAGTAGTGATGTAGATCAACCTCCCCCTCCCTCTTCAAGTTTTTTTCTTAAAGATGTATTCTCGATTACGGGAACTCTATATATTAGGACTGCTGTTTTTCATCCTTCAATTCATTGTTCTACTGATCAGCCAAGGTCATTGGTATATTGGGTTGTCGATATATATATATATATATATACATTGTGATAAAACTTAAGACAGTATCTAATGAAGTTTTCGCAACTTCTTCAGCCTATATCCGTATAGGTGTTCTGTTTTTTAGCTCGCTGGACTGCGCGAGATTGTCTTAAAACACGGATACCAAACGATGTTTTAAGTCTGTTGAATAGTGGCCTAATTCGAGTCTGACATCAGCTTAACTTAGGAGTCATGCCAAGTCTTTAAGCCCTTTGGATTAGAGATCACATTAGCATGTGTGTTTGCATAATCCTGCTGGCGGATAGCCCACATTTCTAGAGGTGCCATAGTTCTTTGCAGCGATCCCATAACCCCCATAATCGCCACCGTCTGCACGACCTCTATATACACAGGGTTAAACTTCTTTATCAGAAGTGTGAACAGACTAAGCTAATTGTCGGAGACAGCCACTTCAGCCTAAGACACCTGCACTGTAGGTGCTACACAGGCTTAGAGAAGGGAGAAAGAAAAACGACCTCACTGACTGACCGG